TTTCATCTTTCTACGTGATATTTTGCGAAAGATTTTTTTCTTGACTTACCATATTCGATCATGTATACTATTCTTACTTGAATTCCGTCCAACACAATCATATAAGTGTTGGTTTTTTTTATGGAGTCTAGTTTTGTATATGTGATCCGGATGATGACCCGACCCGAAGTAATGTTGCGTGGTTTTTAATGAAAAATTTTTTGAGGTTTAGTCTATGGAGCGGAGGCTTGGACCGATAGGCCCAAGCCGTAACGCTCATGGACAAGCCTCGTGGGGGTTCGGGGGCAACGCCCCCGAGGAAATTTTTTGGGCCCGTTATACAGCCCACTGCGTAGGACATATAAACCCTGTTGTTTTAGTGATTAGGGTTAATTGTGGATTGTACAGCCGCTCTCTGTATTCAACTCTCTCAATAGTGAAATCCCTGCAGCTTCGTGGACGTAGGCAAATTGCCGAACCACGTAAAATCTGTATCTCGTTCTTTCTTGTTTCTTATTGCTTTATATTCTTGATTTGTTCTTCAATTGTGTGTGTTTATTAGTGGATTTAAATCGTGTTAAATCCCAACAATAAGAAGTCGAATAAGAAATCGAGTGAACACAAAGGCGGAGGGAAGGCTCGGCAGGGTGGGCACGTGCTCCCCCTAAAAAAAAAATTGTTAGGTATATTTATATAATATTTTATTTGTGCCCCCTCATTTATATTAGGTCCACATTATTTATCCAAAAGAATTAAAAAATTAAGCCTAATTAAAACCAAAAATTTGAGCCCAATATTATCTACCCAAACTTATTAAAATCCACATAAACCTATTACAAAAATTTTTAGCCCAACATTAAAAACAAAAATTTTTGGCCCAGCCATTTAAAAATGAAAAATTTTGGACCACCATTTAAAAATAAAACTCTGACTCCCTCACTCTCCCTTGTCAGCCGAATAAAAACAAAGAGTCAAAGAGCACCTTACTACTTTGACAAAGAGTAAAGTGCTTGCTTCTTAGTTCTCACAATAGGACCACCATCGACAGAGCTGGAGTGCAGGAGCAGGACCACCACCGAGTCACCAACTGAGCACCGACACAAAGTAAATATACTTATATACTGTCTTTATTTTTCTCTCTCTCTCTCTCTCTCTCGATCAACACACACACGCGCACAGTGGCTCACACGCACAGTGCACACAACACACACAAAAAATAAAATAATTTTTTATTTTTAAAATTTTGAATTAATTAGTCTTTGTAATTTTCTGATTTTTTGTGCATTTTAATTTTTAACCCGAATTTATATTTTTGTGTATTTCGCCCTTATTTGAATTTTTATGCATTCTTCCCTAATTTATTTTTTTATGCATTTTGCCCTAAATATTTTCTTGATTTATTATGGCTCGAATTACTAATTGGGGATGTCTTTAAGACCTTGAGTTGCAGTTATTGAGTGATATTGCTTGGAATGATATTGCCTTGAAGATCTTGATTTTTTGGTAACTTTCAATCCGTACCTATTTTTAATACTTTGAATGATATTGCTTGAATTTATTAAAATTATGAATTTTATACTTTTATACATTTGTACTTGTATTTGAGATAAAATTGACAAAATAATTTGTTTAATTAATTGTAAAAGTGTATGTATAAACCTATTTTCTTGAATAGTTTTTTGAAACAGTCATGGAGAAGTATTTTAAGAGAAAGTCTAAGTTAGAGTTATCACCTCCTCCAAACAGAGGTGGTGATTCTTCAAAGAAAAGTCATGTAGATATTAATTTGGCGGATCTTCCATTAAATTCCGGACTGCGGCCTCAGATTATGGATTATAATCCTAATGATCGAGACCAAATTCGTAGAGCTTATCTACAAAAAGGTCCTTGTCAACCCCGCGATCAAAATTTTTCACAAAAAGAATTCGGTGTTAAACTATGACGGTTTAACAAAGCTTGGTTTTCTCAATTTGGTAACTAGCTTGAGTATAGTGTAGCAAAAGATACAGCATTTTGCTTGTGCTGTTATCTTTTTAAATCAGATATGGGAGAACAATCGGGTGGCGAAACCTTTATTAGCTCAGGCATTTCAAATTGGAAGAGAATAGAGAAGTTCTAAACACATGTTGGAGGCATTAATAGTTCTCATAACCAAGCTTGGAGAAAATGTCAAGATTTATTAAATCCTAAGCAAAGTATTGAAGTTATTTTCTTCAAACAGTCAAACCAAGCTCGAAATGAGTACAGAACCCGGTTGAATGCATCCATTGATTGTATTCGATTTCTTCTAAGGCAAGGGCTTACATTTCGTGATCACAATGAATCTGAGAATTTAAGTAATCAATGAAATTTCCTTGAGCTACTTAGATTTCTTACGGATCACAATGAGGATATTAAAGTTGTTGTGTTGAAAAATGCTCCTGAGAATCACAAGTTGACTTCGCCTAAAATTCAAAAAGACATTGTAACTGTAACTTCTATTGAAACGTGTAATGTTATTGTAACCCGCCTTGATGATGCACTATTTTCTGTTCTTATTGATGAATCACGTGACATATCAACAAAAGAGCAAATGACTGTTGTGTTGCGATTTGTGGACAAGAAGGGACATGTAGTTGAACACCTTTTAGATTTTAAACATGTTTCTAATACTAGTGTTCTCTCACTTAAGGCAGCTGTAGATGATTTATTTGTTAGACATGGGTTGAGCTTGTCAAGATTGGGCAGGCAAGGTTACGATAGAGCTAGTAATATGCGAGGTGAGTTCAATGGTCTCAAGACATTTATAATGAAAGAGAATGAATATGCATATTATGTCCATTATTTTTTGCATCAATTGCAATTAGCTTTTGTGGCCGTTGCAAAGAATCATATTCAAATCGCGACTCTTTTCAACTTGGTTGCTAATATTGTGAATGTTGTGGGAGCCTCATGTAAACGGCGAGATATTCTTAAGGAGAAACAAGCGACTAAAATTATTAAGTTGCTCGATAATTGAGAGCTTTCAAGTGGGCGAGACCTAAATCAAAAAACTAATCTTACACGTGCTTGTGATACACGTTGGGGTTCACATTATTATTCTTTGATCAGTTTGATTGATATGTTCTCATCAGTGGTTGATGTGCTTGATATGGTTTCAGAAGATGGTATAAATGCAGAACAAATAGGTGAGACAAATGTTCTTTTAGATTTGCTACAATCTTTTGAGTTTGTATTCAATTTTTATTTGATGAGAAGCATCTTGGGAATCACAAATGAGTTGTCGTAGATATTATAAAGGAAAGATCAAGATATTGTGAATGTTATGACATTAGTTTAAGTATCTAAACAACGACTTCAAATGATGAGGGAAAATGGTTGGAGTTGTTTTCTTGATGATGTCACATCTTTTTTGTGAAAAATATGAGATAATTGTTCCAAAGATGGACGATATCTTTAAAGCTCGAGGGAGGTTAAGATGTACTCAAGAAAAGAAAAATTTGCATCGCTATCAAGTTGAATTATTTTATACCGTCATAGATATGCAACTTCAAGAGCTAAATAGTCGTTTTACCGAGTCAAACACTAATTTACTTCTTTGTATGACATGCTTGAGTCCTTTTGATTCCTTCTTAGCTTTTGACAAAGAGCAATTGGTTCGTCTTGCCCAATTTTATCCAAAAGAATTTTCTTCACTAGAGCTCATGATACTTTCTGATCAACTAGATAGTTATATTATTGATATGCGCTCTAGTATTGAATTTTCAAATTTTTTAGGGATTGAAAATCTTGCTCAGAAAATGGTTGAGACGAAAAAACAAGTGGTATATCCATTGGTCTACTTACTAGTGACATTGACATTGATCTTGCCAGTTGCGACTGTCATAATAGAGAGAACATTTTCAGCTATAAAGATTGTGAAGAATTGATTGTGTAATCGAATGGGCAATCAATGAATGATAAATAACTTGATTGTATACATAGAGAAATATATTTTTGATTGCATTGATAATGATGTTATCATGCAACGCTTTCAAAATATGAAATCGCGTCGTGGTTAATTGTAAAAGACTATAGTTAGTCTCATTTTTTGTAAAGTGGTCTAATTAAAACCTTATTTTGCAGATTTTTTTTTGGTACCCCATGTATATCGATTTTTGGCTCTTTTGTCAATGAAATTTTAGGTATTAAACTTATAGGTAGTGCCCCCCCCCCATGTATAAATTCCTAGCTCCGCCCCTGAGTGAATACATATTTTTTAGTTATTAATTTTTGGATCATTTTAACAATTTAATTAAGTAACTTGTACTAATTAACTAACACAATAAATCAGTAATACTAAAGAAAACACAATAAATTCGATAATATATAAACACTTACAATAAAATACAACAAAAAAATCATAAATATCAATACATCATATATAAGAAATTCATAAACATCAATAAAATATTGGAGTTTTCAGATTTTTGAATTTTAAATTTTAGGGATTAATATATATATATGCGGGTAGGGTAGGAATACAAAAATTTGTAAGTATTTCGTATTCCTACCCGATTTTTTGCGGAATACCAAAAGATCTTTCCTTGGCCTACTCGATTCTTCCGGGTAATATAACAATTTTGAGTGGGGAAACTACAAAAAGTAACATTTATCAAAAGTGACTCGCCAGTGGGTAGAAGCAAATGTTCTTGTGTGAACCAAGGGTTGGTGCCCTTTATCGAGACAGAGATAATGTCTACATGTTCAAGAATAGATAAACATAAAATTATGGTATGTCCATTAAGTAAAGAGAAATTACCTGTCTAGTGCTGGTTGCCTGCCTGCTGTAGTCAGAATGGTATTGATGCAGGATAGTAGGGGACTCTCTGTGTTGCGTACTAAGAAGTTGGTTTGTGAGTATAAGGAGGATACTGGTGTTGGATAGAGCAAGTAAAGTGCTTAGCTGGTGCTGTGAGGTGCCGACTGTTGTGCTACATTGGTCTACCTGCTGTGCTGCACTGCTGTGTTGCACTGCTGTGCAGCTTTGCCATATTGCATTGTTAAGCTGCTGAGCTATGGTGCTGCAGTGCTGATATGCTACTGTGCTGCAGATGATTGGAGTTCTGAATTGGAGTCTGATCTGGTTTTATCCAAGATTAGTCTGTGCAGGCAAGGCTGCTGTTATTGTATGACTAGCAAGTGCTTTAGCTGCTGAGGAAGAAGAGAAAATTTATCTGAATTTCCTTTTTGCAATTGTGAGATTTTTGAAATTTCATTGATGTAAATTTTTGGATTATAGAGTGTATTGAAGGATAAAGCCAATTTGGTTTGATCCTCTTTGCTTCTGGTAAATTTGTTTCATGGAACAAAATTTCATTTTTCCTAAAAAAAAAAAAAGAGAAGTAAAGATAAATTACCAAAATGTCCTTACCAAATCTCCGTCCTAAATGATACGACATATTTTTCACCTATAAATAAATGAGTTTCATTAAGAGAGAAAAATACAAATAGAGTAAAATAGGGCACCGATAGAGAGGTATTCTCTTAACATCTCATTTGAGAAAGTCAAGAGTGACCAAATAGACTACGCCAAGTCGATTACAACATTAAGTTTATCCTGTAGTCGAGAAACCGACTATTGGTTTAGAGGGAGAAGAAAAAAAAGGCTTCGGAGGAATTTTCAAAGAGTCTAAACTTCCCTCTAACATTTCAACAACTCTAGTCATTGATGGCCTGTTTGAGGGATCATTCTGTACGCACCACAAGCCAACTATTATCATCTTTCTGGCACTTAAATGTTCGTCATTGTTTATAATGACATCAAATCCTAGTTCTTCATCTACTTCAAGTTCTTCGTATATCCAATCTGGAAAGTATATTTCACTGGTTCTATCAACATTTTCTTGAATGTTTTTTCTCCCTCCTACCATCTCTAGAATCATCATTCCATAGCTATAAACATCGGATTTATGAGAGACTCCTCCAAAGTTTCTGCAAAATACTTCTGGAGCAATGTACCCAATTGTCCCTCTAGCAGTCAACATCGATACAATGCTCTCTTTCTTGAGGCATAGTTTAGCAAGGCCAAAGTCCGAGATCTTTGGACAGAAATCTTCATCTAGAAGAATGTTATGAGGCTTTATATCGAAATGCAAGATTCGAGTGTTACAACCACGGTGTAAATACTCTAAGCCTCGCGCAATTCCTATTGCAATTTTGTACATTTTCTCCAACCCCAATTGGCGATCTATCGAGGAATTTCCATCGGATATGAATTTCTCAAGCGATCCATTAGGCATGAACTCATAAATAAGAGCTCTTTTGTGGCCCTCGAAACAAAATCCAAGGAGAGAGACAATGTTAACATGGGAAGTCTTACTAATACTTGCGACCTCATTTATAAATTCTTCTCCACAGCCTTTTGATTTGTTTAAAACCTTCACTGCAACCAACCTGCCATCATGTAACTTTCCTCTGTACACACAACCATAGCCTCCTTGGCCTAGTTTAACTTTGAAGGAGTTGGTCATCTTCTTAATGTCCGAATAACAGAACCATTTCGGAGCCATAGATCCGTAATTCTTTAAAAAGGTTTCAACATTGTGGTAGTCCTCAGTCTTCTTCCTCCATAAGACCATAAGTTTACCTCGTGTGAATTTCCTTCTGAAGCAGATGAATGTAGCTACTAAAATGACAATTCCAACCGCAAAACCAACTGCAGTCAATGAAAGGAAAACATGAAATTAGGCAGGAATTGATTACTACTTTCACTTTGTCTCATAAATAATTAATTATCTCAAATCACAACAATTGATGAATAAATTGGGACACATTGCTAGCATTTAAAAGAATTCAAGATGTAGTGTGAGATTTTTAATCTTTGTGGGGGTATCGTATAGATTTAAAAAACATTACCTATTGGAGCTTTTATGACCAGGTCTCTTGGAGTTTATGCAACATAATCACTTACTATTAGAACAATCGTAACCAAAAAGATTTTTCCAAGTTACCATGTGTTTTAACCCAAGACCTTCTCTATCACAATTTTGAACTTATTTCCCAAGTTACCGTTGTTAACATGAAATGATGGTTAATCCTATCAGAACTATCATCAATATTGATATTATCAATAAGAAAACATTTTGACTTGTAGTTCAGGAACTTGTTCAAAAATACAGTAATGAAAGCAACATAAGAATTTGTCGCTAAGTATTTGACCAAATTGGATCGTCTAGTTCCTATAGAACCTATCACTAAAATACCCCTAGAGGGGATAAGGCTAAGCGGAGCTTTGACACAAACAACTTCTTAACCAGAGTTTTGGACAGAAAAGTTTCGTGAACATTTTTCAAATTCTGATATTACCAAACCTCTTCAATAGTTCTTTAATTATACTATTATTTTTAGAATACATTACTCAATTTGGAAATGATCAAGAGTGTTCAAACACATCTACATTTGCGAGTGTACGCGTGGAAAAGTAATAGCTGAATCCTAAAGGTTAAGATGTCATAACTTGTTGCATCAGATCTTTATTCAGAGAGGCAAAAATCTACTTTTACGNGGATGCAATAAATGCTCTGTAATAGGAGCATTTATTGCCTTTCATTTCCGAGTCTTGCCGCATTGAATGCGGTCTCATCAACGGAAGGGTGCAATTAATTATTTGCTTTTCCAAGCCGTGTGTCAGCAACGGCGTGCAGTTTGTCTGTCTTGGNAAAATCAGTAACACATATACTTGTTTAAACAATAAGAAAAAATGGGAGGAAAGTTTAATCAACTTGGAAGTATGATATACCCTTCTGCATACAAGTGTAGATTCAAGAGAAATATTACCTATGAGTAGGGTGAGTTTTAATTTACTTTTTCCTGCACCCGAAGTCAATCAGAAGAAGAAAGTTAGTCCGGGCAGTCAGGCACAGATAAAATGAATTTAATGAACTTGGCATTTCACACCCTAAAACCATAACAAGGTATGAACAAGGAGACATTTAAGAACTTCCCAATTACACAACAAATCCAAAAGGTTCAAAATTTTACAGAGAGAGAGATGTTCAATCCTGTTCTGGATCATACCTTGGCCTTTGTCATACTGTAATTGATTACCGCTGACGGTTTTACACTGCCCTCCATCAAGGTTACACGAAGAACACTCCTTGGACACATGCAATTGAAGAGAGAATTCAGAAGTAAGTAGTTGAAAGGGTTTACTGGGATCAACATCCTTGCGGGAGTTTGCTGGAAGCTGTATAACTGAACAATAAGATGGAAGATTGCTCGGAGTCATACTGCGATTATATGAATATGTGTAGTGGATGGAGAAATCAGGGCAGTCGTCGTAAGCTAGGTAACTATTGTTGAAATATTCATCTTTCTTCTGAGCAAATTCAGGATTTTTGATGCATTTGAACAAGGTGAGATTCGGAGAGAATGTATAGGAAATAGAGGGAGTGTTGGGAAGATTACTATTATTATAGAAAGAATCACAACTGCGAGACTCTAAGCGAAGTTTACTCTCTGGGTCAACCACTAAAACTGTATCATTCTGAAACATTCTTTTAACTTCATACCACCGTCCATTTGTCTCCAGTTGGACATTTGGAGGTTGCCATGGACCACAGTCCACCGTGCACAATCCGCACTCAGGCCGCGACATATTGGTGAAAGGGAAGCCTATCAAACCGAGATATCCACACGGGAATGAGACTGGGCAATTATAGTGGGATTGTTTTCTTTCTTGAGCACTGTTAACAACCACTAGATTAGAGAGAATAAAGAAAACCAAGAAAGAAGGCAGAGCCATTCTGAATTCCTTCAAAACAAAACCCAAGACAACAAACCACAACAATCACAAAGAACAATTCAGCTCTCTCTTCTTCTTTTATTTAATGTTCTTTCACAATTATGTTTAGATGTTTGACGTTTTAAACACGGCAGTTGACTCAGAAATTTGGGTATGGAAGTGTGCGTGCAAGATCCTGCACAATATAAAAAACGGGAACAGATATCTCCCCTGGTGAACTTTGTGTGAGCCGGTTGAGTGGCCAAACACGCTGCTTGAGACAACCTGCAAGGTACGGTGGTAACCTGGAACGGCAACGGAAGATGCTGGGAAAGGAAGAACGATCCTGTGTGGGTGAAAAGGTTTTCCTGGAATAAAGAGGAATAAGTTAGAAGGGTGCCGGAGTGTGTTCCGGCGTATCCCCTCCGACGGTCTAGTCAGTCTTTGAATGAGAGAGAGGAAGAAGAAAACACTGAGAAAGATGTATTGTAGTAGAGAGTTTGTTGTTGCATACCCGTCTTGCCTTTTGCAAGGAGTATTTATACCTTAAAAGCTCATGATTGCTGTCAATGTGGTCAGTAGGTGATCATTAGGTGCAGGTTGCGTGTGCATTGATTTTGATGAGGAATGTCTTCTCTAATTAACTGCTCGGGGTCCCGAACAATCAATGCTGAGCCGTCGGGATGTCGACGGTACAATATGCTCTTCTCGGGGAGGATGCAATAAATACTCTGCAATAGGAGCATTTATTGTCTTTCATTTCCGAGCCTTGCCGCATTGAATGCGGTCTCATCAACGGAAGGGTGCAATTAATTGTTTGCTTTTCCAAGCCGTGTGTCAGCAACGGCGTGCAGTTTGTCTGT